TAGAGACATAAACATAAGACCTGAAACCATAAAACTCCTTGAAAGTTGTGAATAGGTTTTAAAAGTTTTTAACTCATACACACAAAGTTGTAACTATGTGAGGTGATGAATAAATGCTAACTAACATTACTGTGGTACACATTTTACAGTGAACACAATATCTCAAACCATCATGCTGTACACTTTAAACATACACAGTGTTTTATGTCAATAATCTCAATAAAGCTGGAAAAAATTGGGGGGAAAAAAACACCAAAAACAAATTTTAGCAAATACATACAATGGAAAACCACTCAGCAATAAAGAATGAAGTATCAGATGAACCTCTAATTATTCTGAGCAAAAGCAACCAGATAAAATAGGTTATGAAAGAGATAAGGAATCTTTTGGGGGGTGATAAGTTACCTCAATTGCTGTGATTTTATGTGTTGTCATGCGCTGCTTAACAAAGGGGACACATTCTGGAAAGTGTGTTAAGCAATTTTATCATTGTGCCAACATCACAGAGTGTACTTCCAAAAACCCAGATGGCATAGCCTCCTACATACCTGGGCTACATGGTGTAGCCTATTGCCCCCAGGCTACAAGCCTGTACAGTATGTTACTGTACTTACTATTGTAGGCAAATATAACACAATGGTATTTGCGTACCTGAACATATCACAATATAGAAAAGGTACAGAAATATCTGGTGTAAAAGATTTAAAATATGGTACAGTTGTATAGGGCATTTACCATAAACGAGCTTTCAGGACCAGAAGTTGCCCTGGGTGAGTCAATGAATGGTGAGTGCATGTGTGCGAATGCCTAGGACTTATTGCACACGACGGCAGACTTTTATAAACACTGTACACGTAGGCTGTACTGAATTTATAAAACAGCACGAGATTAAATCAAGCCCAAGAGAATGATTCAATCAAGTCACGTAGTAAAAAAGATGTATGAGATGCCACCAGCATCACACAGCATACGGTTTCACAGCAATCTGTTTTTTATAAGTAGAAAGACTACCCTCTAAAATGACAAAGTAAATACAAAAATCACTAACATGGTCGTTTATTATCAAGTATTATGTGCTGTACATAGTTGTATGTGCTACATTTTATAGGACGGGGAGTGCAGTAGGTTTACATGAGCATCACCACAAACACGTAATGTCTTCACAACACTTATGTCACTAGGCAACAGGAATTTTTCATCTCCATTGTATCTTATGGAAGGGTTGTATATGCAGCCCACCGTTGACCAAAATGTCAGTATGTGCATGACTGTACACGTTTATCAGACTGTCCACTTTAAATAAGTGCAGTTCACAGTATGTCAGCTAAATTTCATAAAAATCTTTTTTTAAATTAAAGGTAGATAGGTCATTTTATTGTGATTTCCTACTCTAACCAATTTTTTGATTAATCAATTACATTAGTCTGCTCAGGCTGCTTTAACAAAATACTAATGACTGAGTGGCTTAAACAGAAATGTATTTTCTCGTATTTCTGGAAGCTGCAAGTCCAAGATCAAGGTACCAGCAGGGCTGATTTCTAGTGAGCGCGCTCTTGTGGGCCTGCAGACGGCTGCTTTTTCCGTGTCCTCCAAGGCCTTTCTTTACTCCGGGTGTACGTGGCGAAAAAAATCTCGTGTCTCTTCCTCTTCTTACAGGAACACCAGGCACATTGGGTTAGGGCCCCCAGGACCTCTTTTAACCTTTATTACCTCCTTAAGGTCCTTATCTCCAAATTCAGTCACATTGGGGGTTAGAGCTTAAACATATGAATTTGGCAGGGAATTACAACTCAGTTCATAACACCAACCAACTACATGTCCTAATTCTGTCAAATAATTTTGCCAGATACTTGTTCACTTACCCCTGACACTTGGAGCACCCACTGTTTCAACAGCACCTGACAGTGCTGCCTGTGCTTTTGGAGGACTATCTGCCTTTCTCTACCCAGAGAATTTCAGTGACTATCCTGAAAGTAATTAAATCCATACCAAATTAAACCAAACGAGCAGTCCTTCCATTTCATATCCATTTTCTTTAAGGCTAGGGCTGTTTTATTGTAAATTCACTTATATAACAATATTCAGAACTTTCTTAGACTTCTGTCTGCAGTTTTCTCTGAATTTTAATTACCCACTAATTACAAGCACATGGAATAACAACCATTACTACTAATTATAATAAACAGATAATCACTCAAATGTACAAACTTTTTATTTAGAATTAAAGACTCAAATACAAATTAAATAGGTACAATATAAAATATGAAGCCTTCATAAAACAGACCATAACCCCTTGAAATCATCTATTTCTTTAAGAAAATTAAAGAAAAACCCAAAAAGAGTCAAAAAGCAAATTATTTTTAAACTCTTGTTAACATTAAAATTATTACAAAACACTCAAAGATATTTAATTAGAAAATGAACACAGTTACTACAGAGGGACTCCTGCTAGCTATTCACTAAAATCAATTAAGAAATTAAAATTTAGTATGATTTCTATTCATTCACAAATAAAAAGCACTTCATTTTAAAAAGACAATTATTTGTTTCTCTCTATGCTGCGAGGACTGCTTTCTTTACTTGGCTTTTAATTTTAGTATGGCACAACAGATTTGATCAGTAAAAGCAGTATCACTAAAAATGTTTACAACGTTCCTTGCAGACTCTTTCTGCTTTACTTCATGAATGAGAGGGACATATATTTAAAAGTTAAAATATTACAATATAATAGATATCCCTTAATAAGGTGCATGGCAAAATAAAAATATACATTAAACAATAAAGTTTCTTTTTATTTCATTTATGAACAGGAAATTGATCAGACTCATTTTATATTTTCCTTTTTACTAGGGCTTAATTCTCCAGAAAAGATTTTATATTATTGTTATAAATCCAATTCTAAGAATTTGCATCAAAAAGGTACCAAGGAAGATAGTATAATTTCTTAAGCTCATATTGTTTTTGAAAATACTTATAAAAAGTGGAACTAGACTTGTCTTAAGGGGATAACCGAAAAATCCACCATTACGGTGTTTGTATATTTAAAGTAATTGGAAACAAAAGAAAAATCCACACTCAAAAATGGAATCCACATCATTCAAGACTATAATTATTTGCATATATATAAATACTTGTGAGGTTTTCCTAAAACATGCACATTCTAAGCCTTTTATAATTAAACTTATAAAAACAAACTATATTATGTATTAACTGTCATAATTGGAGCTTTCTGCACATCAGGAGAGATAAAACTTTAACATCTGTTGTTCTGTAAAACTGAAGATGAAATATAATCAAACTCAGCATTTCACTAGAAAATTTTATATATCTTAGTAACATGTTATATTTCTCATCAAGTAAATGGACTCCAAGATGCAGCTATTCCTTTAAATATTTTGTTTCTACTATTGCTCTTTAAAAACCATTTTAATCAAATCACATTTCTTAGAGAAAATTCACTCAGGGTTCTGAACAAATTGTTTTTTGTACAAGCAGCTTTGCCTTGAGGGGCAGAGTTTTAGCTCTCAGAAATTTGTGTTCTCTTTCAAAGAGAATGGAAAATATGTGAGATTTTCTTACTGACTCATTAAATGTAAAGATTAATACAGAGTGTATAACAAACTTTGGGAACACAATAAGTTTTAGGTTTCAGTTTATTTACTACTAACTAGCAATAACATCAGAGAAATTATTTAACCTCTCTGTGCCTTAGTTTCATTGTTAAAGATATTAGAATAATCTCCAGAGGTTCCTTCCATTTCTCACATGGTATGATTTTGTGCTTCTGCAGAAGTATCTACTTAATACATTGATTTTTTCATAAATCAAGAGAACTAATATGAACTAAAATAGCACAGTGGAACTAAATCTCTCCTGTAAGAAAAACACAAAGACCGTGTTAAAGCTCACCATTCCCTCTCTAGTCAGACCAATGAACAACCCATAGAGTTAAAAACCTAATATCTTAGTTAGATAAATTATTTTAAATTACACTGTAAACCTATTAAAATATGTTAAGTGTATGCCAGTTTTCCTGCATTCTAATTTACATTATTTTCATTCTATCTACATTCAAGATAATCTATAAAGTTAAGGTAGGGGGCTACTTAATATTCTTGCACTTCAAAACACTCGTAAAGTTAAATAGAATGGACAGCAGAATATTAATCGTCATCATATTCTGTCAATTTTAAAATAAAAGTATGCTGAATACTATTTATATCTAGAAAAACAAGACAAAGGTAAAAAAGAAAATGTTACTGACAAATGCTCATGTTCAAATGACTTTAGTTGTGTTTTCCTGTTTCTTAAAAAAGGTTAAGAGGGACAAGATGGCAGCAATAACCCACTTAGGCAATACTGAAGCAGGACATTTCCGGGGCTTTAATGAGAAATTAATGACCATGAAGCAGCACTTTGGGTTCTGCTTGCAGTACAAGTAGTGAAGTACAAGTTGATTTTTTTTTGTCTAACAATGGGCAGCAAATGAGGCACTTAACTGTAAAATAGAAAAATAGGGAATATTTAAGAATTTCAAAATCATTCATAAAAGATAACTAGCATTATTCAAAAAGCAAAAAATTCGATTTTTATTTAACATGCTTTCTACGTTACACAAGCTTCACTAGAAAAAATATTTTGAACATAAGACTGCTGCTCAGTTTATAAGAGACAGAAAATACTTCTTTTTCAAGAGATTTTGGATTTCTGAGAATGAAGTTCAAGTCTTCTTAACCTGAGTGCTACATATTTATAAACTGAGAGAAAAATACATCTTACCCACACTGGAGAAATATTTCTAACTATCAACAAAGTATATCAAGTGATCCCTGACCTTATTTTTGAAGGATCAGAAGTTTTTATTGTATAAAACATCAAAGAAGGGGACCTAGTGACGTCAGAGAATAATAAATAGGTATTTAGCACCTAAATTTAGAGAATAAGTATTGCCATAGTTTTAAATAGTTGTATGTCCACAGATTGGGGGAAATCAGATATGAATTGTTCAATGATATTAGAACATTCTCAAAGATTAAAATATCAAGCTTCCAAAAATTATCCTTGATTTGCGAATATATGTACCTGTAACATTCAAACACAGTATTATCATTTCTTCCTGGAGTTACAGATATATATCCTTTTTAACAAGTAAAAAAAGTGAGGTTTATTTCTTCTTAGTCACTGCTGAACTGTCTTCCAAATGTGGCACTTTTTTCAGAGATTTAGATAGAAAATAGTTCTTAAAAAAAAAAAAAGTCAACATACCATAGTCTACCACTAATATTACTTTAAATGTTCTCCATTAGGACGCAGAGGTCAAAAGTGAAATAAAAGACCTGGGCCTTCTGCTAAAACACACATGCAAATACGCAGCGGGAACACAGATGAACACACATGTACTAGCACACAAATGCTTACCTGTGAGGAATAAAGGACTAAATGAAAAGGCGGTAATGTTCGCCGTGACATTATTCCAAATGAACGGAGCTTAGTGTCTGCTGTCTTCATGTCTGAGAGAAATATCCTTATGTTGCCTCTTTAAATAAGCTTGATTTTAATTATGGATGGAACATTTGGCTTCATGTGTTAAAACTGATACATGATATGAACTAAGGTTTGCCAGGAGACAATTTAATCACTCCCATTGAGAAATCCTGTAACGGCTGCCCTCACTCCCCATTGCTTATAGGAAGGCTTTCCTTGCCTCATAAAGGAGGAAAAAGGCTTCAAAACACAGGCTCTTCCTCCAAGGAGGCTGGCAAATTTCAACAGTTCACAACCCTCCTACGTTACTTACATTCACTTTAACAGAGTGCATTCTTCATCACCAATTAATTTCCTCACACAGGAGTCAAAATGCTCTTAGTTATATCTTTAAGGTAAATTTTTCTATCTTCTTTAAGATACTCTAGTTTATATTTAAAAGGACACGAATACATAAAAAAACAGGAACACTGCTGATGCAATCCTGTTGTTAAGAAATGAGGTGCCTACAGCTTCCGACATAAATACTGTTTGATACATTACAGCGAAGTAAAAAAAGCTAACCCAATAAATATGAAGATTGACCTCAGTATCTAGAATAAGGGAAAATCAGACAAGAATACAAATTCTATATAAATAGTAACAAAATCGGGGGAAATATTCCCATTCCCCTTCAAAATAAAGAAAAGAAAAGAAAAGGCAACTGACAATGTTCTTAAGAAAAATTAAGTGGATTCTGCTTCTGAGGCAACCAGACATGCTACACAGTAATACCTACATGCAATACCTGGAATGCAGAGTCACACTCTGACTGCTGCCCTGGACCTTCTGCATTTAATTTACAACTCTCTGGTGTCTGGCTGATTTCATCTTGCAAAGCAGGAGATATGCCATGAGTATCGTCTATAGAAGCATCTCCTGCACCGTCAGCAAGATTTGTCCTCTCTGAATCTTCTAGCTGTTGAACCGAAGCTAAATACTGTTCAAGCAGATTATTATCCTGCTCACTGTTTGAGCTTTCCTTACTCCACTCACCATTTTCTTCGCTAACATCGGCTACATCTGACTCTTTGCAACACCTGACTGTGTCAGTGGAATTCCCCATTATGGAACTTTCACTGCTTTTTGTGGAACTTTTTTCAAAATCCAAAGAATCCTGCAAACAGTGGACTTGTTCTGTTAGGGAGGAGTGAAAACCAGAGTCTGGAAATTCTGGTAAGGATTTCTCTTGCAGAGCTTCATCAGGAGCAATGAACCAGTCAGAATTTTGATTAGAAGAGGGCTCCTGGCTTTGGGTGAATAACGGAGGTTCAGATGGCACCAGAGTACTTGATACAGGTGGAGCACTGGTATGCCAGGAACTCAGATGCTGGTCCACAGTCTGTTGCCAAGCTTGTAGAGACCTCACCTATAAACCAAAGGATGTAGTTTTATTATAAAATAAAAATCATGCCTGTTTTATAATTGTCCTTTGAGCTTTATTTCCAACACATGTGAAGTTGGTAAATGACAGATGGCAAAACTGGAGTTACAAACGGCTGAGTGCCTTGCCCTTTCCATACAGCACCTCCAGCCTAAACCAGGCTGGCACAAGCGGATGGCCTTGGTCAGAAAAGGCCCCCACCAGGAAAGTAGGGATGGGCCAAAGCAAGTCTCTCGCTTCTTCTGGAAAAACAACCAGAAGTACATGTCTAGCTGACTAAGGGGTCAATAATGTACTCAATATATACTGAAGTCCATATAATAAGGCAGATTAGAGACTACCAATATAAGTAGATTCTCTAATATAAGTAGAATCTCATTTTAGATATCCATTTGGGATAAGAGTTAAAATACCTAACAATATAGTATATACAACTCTAAAATACCTAAAAATACCCAGAGTTCTTGGTAACGTGACCTTTACATTTTTAAGTACAATGAAGATCTCAAGACTTTACTACAACATCTGCAACAAAAAAGCAACGTATAGAATATTTAAGTTTCCCTTTGACTATCCTCCAAGGTAATCACTGATAGCAGTTTGATATGTATCCTTCCAGACCTTTTACTATGTATTTTCAAATACAAAGGGAGTTTTTAAAATCAAGTGTAACACGAAATTCCGCAATTTGCTGTTTTTCACTGAACAATGTTATCTTGGAGATCTTTCCATGCCAGTCCAGTTCTTCCTTTTAACTGTTCCATAGCATTCCATGTACTGTTATTCCTAAAATGTATTTAAGCACTCCTCTACTATTAGTAATTTTAAAACCTTAAAAAGGTTTTTGAATTTTACAGTTAAAATCCTATTACAAGAAATTCTTTTATAAAAACATTTCCAAGGAATTATCCTAAAAAAATATTTGATGGGATACAATTATAGTAAAACCTACTGTCCGCACTGTCCCCAAAGTGTGCTATTATAAGATTCAAACTCTCTCCCCCTGAAGTCACGCATACTTTCAGGACATGCATGTTGTAACCACCACACACCTGTCAGTCACCTTTCATTCAAATATTCCCAAAAGATAAAATAAGATAGCTACATAAAAACTTCAAATTGAGTTTTTATACCTACGTATTGGAAAGTTATAACCACAACCCTCAATTTAGTCACTCGCCTTCATCCTTATACTTCTTCATCTTTCTGTTCAAAAGTAAAAAAAAAAAATGTTTTGTTTTTTTTTTTTTGAGATTAAATAAAATGTGACAAAGTTCACTGTCCTAGTTCCAAGTTACTGGCAAAGAGTACAAATTACATCCTTGATCTTGGCAAAGGGTGCTTAGTATGCCTAACTACTCCATGATTATCTCAATAAATCTAGAATTTTCCTTTGTTCACACATTAAGCAAGTCAGCAGGAAGGGGTTTACCTGGTTCCAAAGGAATCTGACAGCCTCTTCTTGTACAAAATTTTTAACACGTTCTTCATCTCTTTCTTTTCTTAATCTGTAAGAATTCAAAATCCATTACTGATGCAAGGAAGGGTGCTTTGATTTGCACTTCTTCTCACAACGAATAAACACATGCTTTGGAGAGAAATTAAAAAACAAAAAGGTCTTTTCCACTTTTAAAATATCTAAGTGAAACAAGTTTTAAGCTATGGCTCATCAAAGAAGCCAAGTGAGATGGGACTGAAATTCAGATTATATTGGTTCCACAAAGTATTGCCAGTGATGAAAAAAAATAATTAAAATAGCTATTTATCTGGCCTCAACTTCCCACCCAGACACACCAGAGGCATCAGCAGAAAGGCGTTAAGGATTAGGATCACGGCTAGAAACACCTTCTAGACGAGCAGGACTAATCCCATCAAACCTCACGGCCTGCCCCAGTTCCTGATGAACTTCTTGCTATCATCAATAGACAACCACCTCATCCCATCACTTCCCCTCATTCATTCAAGTCTTACTCTGGGCTCACTGCCCCCTCTCCATACTTAGGCTTATCACAAACCTAAGGCTCCCAGCGTTGTCCATTATCTCCCAGATTGTCACCACCATCTTGTTCTGAACCTCCGACCCAATTCCCCACATTCTCTAGCCCCCCAAGGTCTTCTCCTGTGCCATCTGAGATTCCTGAATTGTAATCAGCAAACTCCTTTATACAGGATGGGGCAAAAGTAGGTTTACAGTTGTCAGTACACAAAACACAGAGTTTATTATTGTATTATTATTTATTATTATTTTCCATAGAACAACTGTAAACCTACTTTTGCCCCACCCTGTACAGTCAACCTCTGAGGTGAACTTTTCCTTGACGAAATCAGACCCACTTCTGAGGGCACTGTCGCCCTCTCAAGTGGAAGCTATCTTTTCCACTCATCCATTAGGGTCAGAAGATTGCTTCTCACTGCTGTCTACAAACTATTCTTTACCTTCCTCCTTGAGCAACTAAATCTCCCCAAACTCTTTTCCAGTACTGACTGCCCATTGTCGGCCCCCTTTGCTGAAGTCTCAGCACCAGTCTTTCTCGCTGCCCCTTTCCTGTCATCATTTTCCGGAGACCTCGACATTCCCATGGATGCTCCATCTAAGAATAATCCAATCCACGTCACTCCTTCTCATTGTCTCACTCTAGACCCAGCCACTTATTTTGACTACACCACTTTCAAAAATAATTTCAAGCACCCACACAAACCACTACCTCTTATCTCCCCAGTTCACCTGCTCTTGCACCCCATTGCAACGATCTTCATTTAGACCTCTGAAGTGATGATCCCTTCCTCCTGTCTTTCCTTTTACTCCATTTAAATTCCAAGATCCATCAATACGTGTAATCATCCCCCCTCAAACATCCTGGACTCCCTCCCTTGCCTGTCCCTCTCTCCCCCTACCATACACAACTGGAAAAACTCCATTTCTGGATGAACAAAATCAACCACTCCCGAATCAGAAGAGAACAGCTGAGAACTGCTGATGAAAATCACACCACCTGACCTATTGTTTGAAGTTTTCCTCACACTGTCCAGCAATCTTCCTTCACTCCCCTTGTAAGTTCACTTTAAAAACGAATACCTCACACCTCACATATCTCTTCTTAAACCTCTCAGACCCTCACCCCTCTTCATTTTCAAATGCTGCCACATCTTATATGTTACTGAAAGAGGAGAAGCATCCATCACACAGGGCTTCCCCACCCCACCATCAAGCCTATCGCCTTACCTGCTCCTGCCTCAAGCCACCCCCTCTCTTAGCTTCTCAAGAACCTCAAGCCTGCACTTCTTTCTTTCTTCTGTACCAGTTATTCTCTCTTTATTGAATCATTTCCATCAACACATAACGATCTTAAGAAAAATCTTTATCTTCCCATCTTAAGAAAAATTTTTTCCTTAACTCCAGATTCTCCTCCAGCTCTTCTCTTCCTCACAGCATGTCCCAAAGGAGCTGGCTACACTCACCCTTCACCTCTCACTCACTCTTCAGCCCATTCCAAATGGCCTTCATCCCATGAAAGCTGCTCTTAGGAATGTCACGGGGCAGGAAAGGGTTAACTCAGCAGGACTGGATGTGTTCAAACCCTACCTATTATTACAAAGACAGCTGGCCTTGATTGGCTCCTGGGAGATAACCTGTAAGCCCTTGAAATGTACTGCCAGATAAGAGTATCTGTACACATGGGGCATTGGGCTAAACTGGACAGTTTATGCTAACGCTATGCTTTCTGGAGAATTAAGTTTTTATTTTATTTTTTTAACTTTCACTTACTGATTTTAGAGAAAGCAAGAAAGGGAAGGGGGGAAGTCAGAAAAAGATAGAACTATTGATTTGTTGTTCCACTTATTTATGCATTCATTGGCTGATTCTTGTATGTGTCCTTACTGGGGATTGAACCCACAATGCTGGCGTAGCAGGATGACACTCTACGCAACTGAGCTACCTGGCCAGGGCTGGTGAATAAGTGCTTTTGTTCACCTGGGACCCTGTATCAGTCTGACCTCAGGTACGGTCTGAGAATTGAGTAGTTAAGGTCAATCACTGCCTATATGACTGACCCCCAATAAAAACCCTGGCTGTCAAGGCTTGAGTGAACTTCCCTGGTTGCCAATGCTTCACAGGTGCTGTCACACATCATTGCTGGGCCAGTCAAGCCCTGTGTCTACACTCCACCAGGAGAGGACAACTAGAAGGTTGGGGCCTGGTCTCTCCTGGACTCTGCCCTATCTGCCTTTCTCCTATGCTGACTTTAACCTGCATCCTTTCATTATAATAAACCATAATCATGAACAGAATAGTTTGCCTGAGTCTTTTTAGCAAATCATAACCCCCAGCTTCTCGGTCTAATGTACACTTCTCGTAACTCCAGCACCTCTCTCTCTCCCCCGAGACATTTTCCTGTGGGAGCTGGGACACACTCTCTCCCAGTTTTCTTACACAATGGCTGTTCCTTCTCCGTTTCTTTTACCGCCGCCTCCTCTTCCACCTGATACTATTAACAGATATTGCTGACTGCAATACTAATACTAAAAATAAATTCTGAAATCCTAATTTTCTTGGGTTGGCAGTCAGTTAAACATGTGAACCATGGAATTAAGGCATAATTCCTACCACTGCCCCAGCATTTTAGCCCCTTTTAAATCCCTGCTCTTTAATTCTCAGATCATCTAGTCAGTTCTACGTAGACTTTCTCATCTTCTCATTTTTATACTTATTTAGTTTTTCTACATTTTCTGTACCTTTCTGTGCTTAGGTTTATAGGTGCCTGAAAGGCATGTATTCATTCAAAATCATTGCTTTACTGCATCTATGTACCAAATGCTGTGCTAGACATGGAGATGCATATGAGAGTGCTCCCAAAATGCCTTCAGTATACTGCAGGAGACAGGTAAACCAAGAGTGGCAACGTGATACAAAGTGTGTCCTGACCACAACAGCACTGATTCAGTGTTCCGAATCAACTCAAAGAACCTGACACCCCCAAACCAACAAAACAGCACCTGACGGGGCTTCTGACCCACCTCCTTACTTCATTGGTGAGGCAGACAATGTGCTCCTGCATCCTGCGCAGCCGGATTTCACAGCGCACATCCTTAGCTTGAGGGTTGTGGTTTCTGGCATAAAAGCCCCGCCAACAGGCCTGCAGTGTGGTGGCTGCTTCATTCAAGTTCTGAAGAGCAATTTTATCTTGTCCCAAAGCAACAGATCTCTGGGTTAAGACTCCACACGGAAGTTCCTGTGAGGCAGCTTCAGACATGGTTTCTTCACTGTCTGGTTTTGTATGTAAGACACTAGGTCCAACTGACTCAGGAAAAGATGACACACTGTGGGAGCCCCCTTTCGAGAGAGCACTGGCTCCTGTTAGCTCAGGACAAGGTAACAGCCCATTTTCCTCACTGCCCTCTGCACTGACTGCACTTCTCATCATCTGAACAGAATTCTCACTTTCAGCCCAAAAAGCTTTATCTTCTTCTTTATCCAAGCCCTGGTCTTCCTGCCCCTTCACCGAGTCATCTGCACCAGCGTCTAGGTCCAAGTGAAGGCCTTGTAGCCTCAGCTCAACTGTAGGTGATACTGGGGAGAGTCCTGACGCAACTGGCATAAAAGTAGACTCCGAAGAGAGAAGACTGCAGTTCAGCTTGTCCTCATCTGTCTGTATGTCTTCCAGGTGCAGGTCATTTCGAGAATACCTTGCAGTGTGTACAGAGGCTGGAAAGTTACTCCTAACAGCATATACCTGATCATCATTACTGCTTGTCCCAACCCAAGAATTGACTTGGATGACGGGGTCTAGAAGAATCAACAGAGTATCATTTAAACCACTAAATATCTAAAGAGGTTTGTTTTGTTTTGTTTTGTTTTTAATTTCAGCTCTATCAAGGTCTAATTGACATACAAAGTTGTAAGATGTTGAAAGTCTATATTGTGGTGATTTGATATATGTCTATATTGTGAAAAGATTCCCCCCATCTGGTAAATTAAAACATCGATCACCTCGCATGTTTATTTTTATCTATTTTTGTTGAGTCAAGACATACTTTCCAGTTACATCTTTTTAAGGAAATCTAATCCTTGAAATAAGAGTAAAATGAGATAAAATGTCTTCACTAATTCCTCCAATATGCCTAAAACATCAAACCAAATATTTTTAAGGACATCAATAATCATAAGAATGATCAAAGTATCAGGTCAATACCAAAATTAGCAGTGCTCTGAATTTTTAAAAATTAGAAAATAGTTATGATATATATGTATATATATGATATATGATGTGTGTATATATATGCAGGGTGTTCCCAAAAAATGTACACACACTTTGAATGACTATAAAGTCAGTGTTTATTAACACACAGTTCATTTTCAAAATTTAAAAGAATCTACAGAAGTGAATCTTTTTTTTTCTTTTTGTCAATTTCTGTTCTCAAACTGATGACCGTTCTGGTCTAGGCATGGCTGATAACGCAAAGCAATGAAATCGCAAACATCAAGAATGATTTTATTAGGTATTTGTACACCTCAATTCGTTGACTATTGCTGGTTTTTGGACTATAAACTTTTATCTTTTATGTATCCCCATTAAAAATAGTCTAGTTGCACTTTAGGATAAATTTTTGTTCAAAGCTTAGTCTGGCTTCAGAGCAGTTAAACCTGAAAAGGAGTGAAAATTACGTGAGTTATCAGCTGTTAAAGTATGTATACATTTCTTTGGGACACCTTACATATAGGTATGAGTGTGTATACACATATATTTAAAACATAAGATCCAAATGACCACCTAAGTTAAAAACTAATAAAAATTATGAAAATCTGCACCTTTTCTGTTTTATGATGTCCAACAAATCAAACCAGTTGGAGAAAACTGATCAATTAATTTCTTACCGCTTTCCTGGACTATCTGGCAATCTTGAACAGGGCTCGAATGGTCTGGGGCCCTTGTTTCAGTAGGAGGAAGACAAGACAACTCTTCATTTTGGCTTTGGTTCATCAGCTGCCTCTGGTGAAACCTAAAAGTCATAACATCAGATGTGATTTAACACATATAAAAAAAGAAAGCTTTGCTGCTTCCTAGGTAACTGTCAGAAAGGTGGAAGTTTACAAGTCTTCAAAGCAGATGCCTCTAATCACCACCAAATTTCAAAGTCTCATTTGAAAGCACTGAATAGAAAAGGTTAAGGAACTTATTTTTAAATCACAGTTAGACACCTTCATATGCATACACTTGCACAAACATTTAAGGCAGGATCTCTGATGAAAAAAAAAATTGAACATTAAATGCTCCTAGCTATACTTCTTAATATTAGTATTTAAAACCCCATATGGAACACCTACACTAAAAGGACAGCTCCATTTTTTAAAAAATTCCATTCTCCCATACTGCCTGGCTCTCCCCAGGCATGATCAGCAATGTGGCTGCTGTGGAGCAAACTGGACTGCACTGCATGGTTCAGTTCCCTGCCCGACAGCTGCAGTGAAAAGGGCCCAAAAGCCCAGAAATGTGGGCCGCAGCACTTGCCTCAGTCCTACTGAGCCCACAGAAAAGACTCAGAGGTATTTCCACTTGTGAATTCATCAGCTGCTACAAATACGTGGGCTCACCTCTGCTTGCTCAGAATCTTCTCTAGTTTGGCATCTTCTGCAGTTTGAAGGCCCAGTGTAGACATGAGAGGACAGACCGTAGCTAGATACTGGACGAGCTGGACGTGCTGGCCAGGCCTATACGCTCTCCCCTTGCCTTGACTATAGAGCCATTCAGCTTTCAAACTGGAATTGGGGGGCACAGAGAGAAGATGACTTGAGGTAGACAAGATACATTTTTAAGCAATATGATCTCCCTTCTTAATGTACCTTTACAGCATCATTCGATGTTTTTTGTAAATAAAACTCAAGTTTAAAAAACTCTATCCTTCTGATTCATTCCCCTTCCTCTTAACATGATTCAAACCTTTTTTCTTGCTTTGGGGCATTTCCACAGATTGCACTAATAGTTTCAAATATTTCAAAATTATTTTCCAAGAAGCAGTAAGTATTCCTTCCATTTACTGTCAAACTGAAGTACCTAAATATATCACAGATGAGACGTAATAACAGTATTGTAGTTATTTCTTAAAGAGCCCTTATCTTTTTAGAGATATATACTGAAATATTCACAGATGAAATTGTACGTAATCTGAAATCTGTTTAAAAATAACAGGAGAAGAGGAAGTGGGTGAAGGTGTAAATGAACAAGGTTGGCCATGAATTGAAAACCACTGATATTGGATGATGGATTCACGGGAGGTGATTATATTACTGTTTGCTTTCCCACATATGTTTGAATTGGTTTACTTATTTAATCTTAATTTTTTTTATTGATTTGAGAGAGAGAAAAACATCAATGCATCAACATTGATAGGCTGCCTCCTCCACATCCCTACTGGAGATTGAGCCTGAAACCCCGGCATGTGCCCCGACCAGGAATTGAACTGGGGATAGATGAAACAAGATTGGTAAAATGTTGATAACTCTGGAAGCTGCATGGTAGGTATTTAGGTGTTCTTATGCTACTCTCTCCACTTCTCTATATTTTGAATATCCTTTCAAAAGAGAAACAGCACCAAAGTTCTGCTCCTTAACTAAGTTCTTATCCCTAACTACGCAACAGAGGGGCAGTTTGGTCCAGTAAAAGAGATCAAAACAAATTCAGAAAGAACTCCAAATACTTAGGTGCTATACAAAGGTGCTAGTCTTTGCACAGGTGTGCTTCTCCCTGAGAAAGCTCTAGTCAAAGCACCATAGGGGTGGGTGACCGCTCAAGGGACTCTTTTCCATGACACACACTTAATATCTGGCTACCTGAAGTCATCCTAGAATCTGCAAAACTTTTTGTGAAGGAGAAAATTTTAACCCGAATGTTTCTAGCAAATAGCAGTTAGGCTGGGTAAATACAAAAACTGGAAATTCCTTCCTATCCTCAGGACAATTCCCAAGGTTGACCAGGAGAATGTTTTGGACATTGCTCAGGCTACCGATCAATTTTTAAGATAATAGCTCTCCCTTAGAATAATTCCTCCCCCTGAACAAAATACTTCCAGAGATATTCTAAAACCTGGGAATACAGTGTAGACTCCAGGGTTGTCTCAGACATCAACTACAACAGCATTTTTCTCACTAGTGTGGCGTCAACAACAATCTAGGCTCCTTAGTTTGAATACAACTCTACCCATTCTTCTATGGGCTGACATTTGGGTCATTTCCCAAATGTTCCAAATAGTTCCCAATGTTTGGAGCCATTATGAATAAGGCTGTTATGAACATGCTTGTACATGTCTTTTGGTAGACAGAGCAACTGTTTTTGTAGGGTATAGACCAGATGTCAAATTGCTGGGCCACAGGGAATGTATTTGTATGCTTAGCTTCAGTAAATACTGCCAGTTCTCCAAAGTGATTGCACCATTTACGTTCCTAGAACAACGTATGAGAGTTCCAGTTGCTCCACATATTCACCAACACTTAGTACTGTCCGTCCTTTAAATTTCAGCTACTCTGGCAGGAGCTGATTGATTTAAAGACCCCATAATAACCAGAAAAAATAATAATCTTTCTGGATTATCAGAAAGTCAATACAGTGATTATCTCTCATAGGAAGGGGAGTTTTATGATGGGAGTGGGGCAAAGGAGATCTCTGCAGCGCTGGTGATATTCTACTCTTATTCTCAGTGGTGATTATATGAATATTTGTAGATATCATTTTTAAGTATACCTGAATTATGAAACTTTGCAATTTTTTTAAATATGGGGGGAAAAGAATCTGTCTGAGAAAGGGTTGTTATATTTGCCACCCTCCAGACTTCTTTTGGGTAGGACACCCACAGAAAGGGAGGCTACCCCACGTGAAAGCAGTTCCCTACCTCCTGAAGTCTCTGAAGTTAAACAATTGTAAAACATTACACAGAAAGTTCAAAGAAATACAAATCACCTGGAAGTCAGTTGGAGTAAACCGTTTCTACAGTGTAGAAACATAGCCTTTGTATTATTATTCATCTGCTCAACAAATATTTTATGTTTTAACACTTGTTTTAGTTTCTTCAAAACACTTCAATCCCTAGTCCCTAGCCTTAAGCAATGACAATTACCATTTATTAAGCACCTAGTGTATGACCGGTACTGTGCTAGGTACATCCTTTGTCCTCACAGAATCCTTAAGAGCGAGGTAGGATCACCCACATTTTACAGATGAGAGACTAACGCTCAGAGAAATCAAGGGACCAGCCCAGGCCACACAATTAATGGGTGGCAGGGAAAGATGTGAAGACTTCTCCTGTCTCTCCCGACCAGGTCTCATCTCTCCTCCCAGGTCTCTTTTTAAGCCAGTCTCTCATTTCTGTCCATCTCTCCACGCTGCCTCCCACGTATGAAAATGTTGCCAGTCCCTCTCCCAGAGAAAAATCCAACAAGGTACTTCTTCCACTTAAAGAAAGATCCAGAGAAGAATCCAAGTGAATCCACATTCCAGCTTTAGAACAATCCACTTTGAAACAAAATAAGGTTCGTGAGTACACGGCAACACTCACTGCAGGAAAAAGGCCAAGGCCACACTTTTTGGCAGGCAAACTAGACCTGACATGTCAGTCACCCTGCACCAGCACCACCGCCTGCAGCTCCTGGCTGCCATTCCTCACTGCCCCACGCCCCGTCCAGCAGGCAGATAGAACAGCAGAGAGAAGGAAAAGGAGAGCCCTGCCTGTGATCTTCCACTCATCCTCTCATCTGGAAACCCCTCGAGGGATACCACCAGTCTCCAGGACAGAAGGGCAGAAACGGTGAGGGAGAATGTATGTGTGAGTCCATGAATCATGTACATACGCACTGAGAGGAGGAAGTGCAATGAGGCAGTGATGAGACTAAACTCACCTCAATCCTCACGATCACCTCTAACTCCACCCTCTGTCCGCATCCTAGTTCCTTACCTCCCCTAAAGCTCTAGTTCCACTGATCGTGTGCTAGTGTCCAAAAGGCCCCATCAGGCAAGGGTTCCAACTCCAAGCCACAGAAACCATCAATGATGTAGAGATGGGGGAATCCTCATTCCTACCACTTCACAGGTCAGAAAAGGGGAAGACCAATCAGCACGTCTGCGACCAGCTCCAAACTGGAACTCTGCATGCATTTCCCCCCAGAGCCACTGTTAAAAAGGGCAGTTGGGTCCTGAGGTATTACTAATACTGCCTTACATATCTGTGAATTACAAACTTTTGTGGGACTTACCTGAGACCCCTACATCTGGAACTGGTATTTCTTTATCCTTTTGTAGAAAGGATAGAAAATCCTAAGTGAACAGCACATAGTTTGCTATATGAATGCATTCATGATCTTCATTTCTAAATGCACACTTAAGAAATACTCAGCTTATTAATCTGCAGAAAGCTAGAAATGGTCTTTTCAGTAACTTCCACAATAAATGTGATGTTAAAGGGGTCATTGTTCACCTTTCCTTCTGGGAAATCACGTATCCATCCAGGACTCTGAGGTTTAAGCACCAGCTGACGATGTATGGCCGATAGTCAAACCCTGGAATGGAAGGTGTTGCCATCACACAAGGATTGCTCATGATCGATAACTGTTCCAATTCAGTTAAGGATGCCAAAAAAGAGATCTGGAACAAAGGATATCTCTGTTGAACAAAATGGACTATCCAGTGTCAAGCACAGGGCTTCCGCTGATTACACATCTTTGGCAATTTGAGAATGTAACAATTCCCCTCTTGTTCTGAAAAGCGACGAGTAACACTCATATTATCCACCGACTTCCAAAGTTCCAACAATATGGCCATCTGTCCTTGCTGCACAAGGTCCCTTAGAAAGGATCAGCACAGTTTCCCAACTGAGAGATTCCCATTTTGAAAATGCAATAGGGGCCAGAGGAAGGCACACAGTGTGCCTTACTAACCTCTTTAGAGTAGATGCCCCTCTACCACCAATCACTTCCAAATGGAATAACTGCAGCATTATGCATGAAATTAAGTCTTAATGACCCACAGACATTAAGAGAAAAAGAGAAAAATAATGATCAGCTAGAGCCAAGTGTTTCATCTTGATGCAGTTTCTCCCAAGAGGCTCACAGTCCAAAAGTGAGCTCACAACTTTCTCTTGTGTTTCTCCTCCTTTCCCACAACTTTCCAGCTTCTTGGATCCCATAGAATACCCTCAAACTTTACCTCATTTAAGTCCCGAATTTCATTTTCCGCCAAAGAAAGAATAGCCAGACTTCTAGGTAGATAAGATGGTACCATTCTAAGAGAGGTGATGATGTTTCCATGTAAAAGCAGGGTCTTAAAAGTAAAAACAAATGAATTACAAATGAAAAGATTACAAATAAATGGGTCTACTTTTTTTAAAGGTATTTGTTATTAATCATTTTAGTTTTTTGCTTTTTTAAAAAATATATCTTTAATGATTTCAGAGAGCAGGAGGCAGAGGGAGAGACAGAGATAGAAATACCAATGATGAGAGAGTCATTGATTGGCTGCCTCCTGCACATTCCGTACTGGGGATCAAGCCCACAACCCGGGCATGTGCCTTGACTGGGAATCAAACAGCGATCTCCTGGATCATAGGTCAATGCTCAACTGCTGAGCCACACCAGCTGGGCTGGGTTTATTTTTTTCAAATTGATTTTAGAGAGAGAGGAAGGGAGAGGAATAGAGAGACAGAAATATCTGTGAGAGAGAAACATCGACCAGCTGCCTCCTGCATGCCCCCTACTGGGGATTGAACCCAAAACCTGGGCATGTGCCCTAACTGGGAATTGAACTGGCGATCTCCTAGTTCATGGGTCAACGCTCAACCACTGAGCAACACCAGCTGGGCATAAATGGGTCTATTTTGACAAAAACCAAAATGGCATGTATGAAAATGGGGGGACCTATTTTATTATACTTCTCATAGCACACAAAGACTTAATGCTACAAGGGTCTTCAGTCCTCTTCTGGTCTACTCTCTCTTTTCTCGTCTACATTCTAAGCCCAAGAAAGTTTAAAGACTTGTCCAAGAACACAAGCTTAGTGTAGCAACTAGCATTTTGTGAGATTTAGTTTATTAAAACTTGAGTAATTTCCAATATATTGGTTCATTTCCCTTTAAAACATCAGAGTAGAGAGTGAAGAAACTGAAAGAAGACATTCATTGAAACAATCATGTATAAAGCAAATTTTCCAAAAGATAAGAAGGGAGAGGGGGAGAACCTACAATCCATAATTTGCAACTGTATTTCCTTAGAAACTAAAAGCTTGAGGAAGTTAGAATGTGCTACTCGCAGGTCAGCAACAATGAGGAACCAAAAACTCTAATAAGCCCGGCAGGCATGGCTCAGCTGTTGAGCATCGACCTAGGATCCAGGAGATCTCGGTTCGATTCCCAGACAGGGAACATGCCTGGGTTTTGGGCTCGATCCCCAGGAGGGGGCGTGCAGGAGGCGGCAGATCAATGACTCTCTCATCACTGATGTTTCTATCTCTTCTTTCTCTCCCTCCCTCTGAAATCAATAAAGATATATTTAAAAAAAAAAAAAAAGAAAACAAAACAAAACTCTAATAAGATTCTAATAAGATAATTATCCCTCCATTTCAGGAAAAAAAAAGATCAGATTAATTATCTTCGGTTCATCTGAATTCTCTTAGTATCTGGCCAAATCAAATTGTTGAGAATAACTGTTGCATTTTCTGTTAAAGATGTGGGGAAAGCTGAGCTAATAACACTCCTTCTAAAGCTTAGTAAGTTCATCTGATGCTAATAATATCCAATGAAACAAAAATATGGAAAATGCCTATATATGTTGTTTGAAGCTGTGAGTCCAACTGTTACTTATTTGATTGCATGATATATTCCCCTCCATAAAAAGTGATATATGCTACAGGTTTATTTTTTAAATTAAAGTGAAGTTAATTTTGATAACTTAGTAATACCTATTATTAAAAAAACAGCAATTCCGAGTGTCAAGAAAACAGGCTAAAGTTCATGCATAATTACACTCAACCTCGCCAACATGTTATGTACCTACTGCAAAGCTGCTAGCATGGCTGGTTGGGCTTGAAAGGAATTTAAAGTTTGAAGGATGGTAAATAAGAATTAAGCTTAATTACAATGACCAGTTTTAATTACATCAGTTATAGATACTAAAAACAAGTTTCATACTTAGTTTCTGCTATTCTAATAGAAGTTTTATTGTAATGAACACAATCTGTTCTTCATATACAGCAGGCTGCCTTAAAGCCAATCAGATCACTTTCTCTTGGTATCTTAGCATACAATTTCAGAAACTACATAGTCAGAACACAGGCTTACCTTCAGTGACACCAATTTAGATAGATCACCTATCTGGGATAAGTTATTATCTGATAAATCGAGGTGCTGTAGAGCTGTGCAGCTATTGATTTGTTCCATGGCCTATCACAAGAAAATTATCATGTCAGTTCATGCAAACAAAATCAAAATAAAGATTTCCTAGCTCCTCATAGCTGAGTCTCCTGCCTCCTCTGCTCATTATTGGAAGCAGAGCAAGAAAAAGAGAAAGCAGTGCTAACAGGATTTGGTAAAATGTTATGTAGCAAGCTTCCACCTTTGAAGAGTAGGGGAGCATATCATCCCGGATATTCAGAGCTTGAAGAAACCTTAGTGATGACACATGACAGCTGGAAAGTCAAAGTTTATAAGTTAAGAGTGTGGAGAGTGGCTGAACCGGGAAGCTGGACAGGACTCGAGTAGGAGCAAGGCTGTGCCCTGAAGACCCTGAGGGACCTTGTCCAGGGCAGAGGCAAATCTCTGCCTGGATACAGGTGCCCCTGCCCACTGTGTAGGCTGACACACTGGCTTGAGCAGAGCTATGCTTGCATACTACATGTCCTGCCAAAGGCTAGGATATGTGTTCAGCTGAGCAACGGTCGGGTGCCAGCTTCTGGGTACAGTGGGTGCAGCGTGTAACAATAGAAAACCCCCAAGATGTTGTTCTGGGTGCAGCAAAGCAGTATGTTCTGAGAAAGCTTGCCAAGGGATTGTTTTTGACCCTTTCAGCTACCTGCAGTTTCCTTGAAGAATTGTTACCTTGATGTATATAATAAAGACGCTGAGCTTGCTGTCTCTCCATCCAAGGGCAGTGTCCCACCTGGCCCCACCTTTAACTGTCTTATACGTCTCTGTGTATTTCTTAATCTCCCATCGCTCCCTCTCAGGATCCCCCACTTCCCCGCAGAGGTGGCGGCAAAGAGTGCAGCCAAACCATCTGGATTCAAATGCTGACTGCGACTTCCTGGCTGTGTGGCCTCAGGCAAGTTACTTAACTTCTCTACACTTCGGTTTCCTCATCTATATAATGGGCATAACAACACTAGCTACCGCATAGGCTCTCATGAGACTGAGTTAACACAGTTAAGATGCTTAGAATAGTTACTAGTCTAAATTAACTGTTCAGTAAAAGTCAGCTATTAATAATATCATTTAATGCAGTCCCCTCATCTAGCATATCAAAAAGTGAGCCACAGAGATATTACAGAGCTCCTAAGTGGTGGAAGCACGACTAGAATCCAGGTCTCCTGACTTTTAAAACAGTATATTCTCCACTATATCATTAAACATTTACTTAAAGCTTAATGCAGCACGATATAGTTTCTCTCCTAACATTTAATTCTATTTGGTCCACTTTTCTAAGTATAATATAGATTTGTTGTTCACATTTAAAAGAATGTTATACTGCATTATGTTTCAAAATGAGATTTTTTTTTTTTTAGTTTATGTTAACGGAAATTATTCCTGCAGAGTGTGAGTGGGCAATTTCATTTTTTATTCTACTCATTTCTATACTGTTCGAATTTCTTTTTTATAGTGAATACTTTTGTAAATTGAAAAAAACCATAATTACTAAAAAAAAAAAAAAAAAAAAAAAAAAAAAAAAAAAAAAAAAAAAAGAAAGAAAGAAAAAAAAGGAAAGTTCACCTTGAGATTATTTCCTGCCAAATTCAGCCACTCCAGATGTACTAGTTCCTTTAGCCCTTCCACATAGCCAATGCTATTATGAGGCAAATTTAACACCCGGAGTTGGGTCAGTTTGGCCACACCCATCATCCGCACCAGCCGATTATTAGCCACTGACAACTGTGGAAAGGAAAGGTATCATTATTCTTTGGAATAAAATATATACATTACTTTCACGTTAGGGTGCTTAAAAAGATTTGCTTATGTGGCCAAACATGCCCAAATATATAAACCCGATTTGTACTTTTCATATATATTGTGTACATATTCTACAGAGTAACTATATTAGTTTGTTGTTGTTGCTGCTGCTACTCCTAAGCAATGCAAAATACACATAGCCCTCAGCAATCAGACCTCCTCCAATTCCTAAAAAGAAAACCCTGTTAACATAGCAACTGCTTGAGAATGTAAGCTCCAGAGAATGGGGTCCTTAAATTGTCTCAATCAAAATCTAGAACAGTGCCTGACCCATACTGGGGGGGAGGCCAATAAACATTTGTTGAATGAATGAATGAACTCTTTACTCCCATCATGAGGTAAAAGGTTATCTTAACACAATATTTTGCCAACATAAAATGTTGGCTTTCTGAAACAAATGTTTCTTTTCCTAGTCCACTATAAATGAAGGACATATGTATTCATCCTCAGGACAAACTGTCATGTAAAGATTTAAGGCAATGTTTACTACTTTACAGGCCTGCACAGTTACTTTTCCATTGGTTGTTTTGTTTTAATAGATGTAATAATAAACTGTTTCTATATAACTATTTGCCCAGATACAATACCTACCTGTATTAATCGTCTGCATTTCTCAAGATTTTCCAATTTAATAATCTGATTTTTATCCAGAATCAAAGTATGAATATCAGCGTCACAGGGTAAGTTTGCACTTAATTTCTGTAGCCCTTGCCCTGACCAATTGACCACTGATCCTTGGAAAAAGAAGGGAAATTGTTAGAAAACACAAATACAACACCTGAGCACAGGAATGGAATTATAAAATCCCAGAGTTAGAAAACACTGGAGCACAATTAACATCAAGATTTTAAAACAAAAACAATCAAGTTCTAAAGGACCGCAGTTTGAATTTGTTCATTTCCCCTCAGAAATACCAAATTACACCAAGTGGATCTCATCTTTTGCTAGAGATGAACCTGCTTACAACCTAACTACCAGCATATCCTAAAGTGCCCCAATCAAAGTATATACTTCAGTTAACTTATCTACAAAATGGGAAAAATGCACCTAATTCATTAAACTGATGTGGGGATGAAAAGTGAGCACTTGGCCCCATCCCTGGCACTCAGCACTCAATAAAATAATTTAGTGCAACAGACTTTCAATTCCTGGGCCCCACCAGTTCACCACTGTGGTGTCTTGGGCCAGTTACTGATTTCTCTGGGGCTCACTTTTCTATTCTGTAAGATGGATTTAATAATAAAACCTGCCTTATTATGTTGTTCTACAGAGAAAAACGAGATGATGCAAAATCTTAAAAAAAAAAAAAAGCTCTCAAAACATCATCTAGCTCATATAAAATCTGCTCTATAAATATTAATTGCTAGCACTGTAAGTTGCCTTGGTGGGCTGGGGGGGT